TGTAAAAGGTACTGTATGTTAGCAACTGGGCTGAGGCCACAGAGAGGGTGCTTAGTTCTAAATCAGTTTTCATCCAAACATTTATTATTTCCCGTGAATATCTTTATTTCTATGGATGTGTGAACTGGCTGGAGGCTTTGTTTAAGGCTGTTGCCAACCTTGTAAATTGGACTTGTTCAGAGTATTAATTTTCAACAACCTTGTTAAGCTACTGCATGCTCAGCGGTGTCATAAAAAAAAAAAAAAAAGTTGGAAGTTTCATGGTATGCTAGAAGGCCTTACTTATTAGGGACCTATTCTTTTATTCACACAATTTCAAGTGTCATATTGATATGATAGGAGGCAAATAAACATTGTAGGTACTTTGCCTGTTACACTGACAATGTTTTCATTAAGGCACTTCAGTTAATTTTAATAAGTAGTACTTGTTTTTGTTAGTCTTTTAACTGGTTCAATTTTTATTTCGTTATTTTATGAACAGTAAATTTTTATTCATAGGTTAGTGATTTGTCTTAATTTTAAATACTAGGCAAAAAGATTTTATATCCTCATTTAAGTACTATTGTTTTATTAATAATATATTTTTGTGATCAAAATTAACAAAGACAAGTGATTTGCTGAATGGAAAGAGTGTGAATGAACATTCGTTACCACATTCTACATCTTTAAAAAAATCTATTTTTACACTCTGAGAGTCATTTTTAGGCATCTAGAACATTAACGTGAATATTCTTTTATAGTAATTAATTTGGACCAATCAAGACGCACCCCTCATCCTCCCCGTGGCAGCAAATTATTTTTACTAAGTGGGTAAAAATACTGAATATGAACATTAAGTTTTCATTAGAATAGGGATTTATTTCCACTTTCTGGGATTTAGGTCCATATTCTCAATTTTCGCACCCCCAGCCTGAACCCAGCCTATGTCCTTGTGTTGAAGACTTTGGACATCCCGTCAGGTAACTTGGATTCCTTGTCGAGGGACTTGGCGCTATATGTTGAATTTAATAAAAATCTTCCTTTTAGGGCATTATGCCAACAAGTTGTTTTCAGTATGTGTTTCACATTAATTACCTTAGTCATTGGATGAAACATATGCTTAGCCCCTGGGGAATTCCAAATGTTGCAGTTAGTACTTAGTATTGTGTTTGAACCTACCAGGTACTCGCACCCCTGGAAAAAGAGAGACAATCATAGTTAAAGCGCCATGTCTACAAACACCAGCTGTAAGCATGTACTGTAATACATTACAGCGAAAGGTTCATATCCCCTTGAATCACACATTGATTCATATCCAATCTACGCAAAGAAAGTATTTAATTTATACGTAAATAATTGGTGATGTAATATCAATTTTGGAAGCTAATTTAGCATAGTAATAATACTCTTGAAATATTCAAATATAGGTCTCCCTCCAATTAGAGGCCACTTTTGGGACCGTGGTTTCTGTGGTCTTTGATCTCTAAATTAAAATAATAAAGATAAATGATATTTGTTAATTTTGGACCACAGAAAAGGGGTATTTAATTGAGTTGGTCTTTAATTGGAGGGTTCTTTAATTATAGGGAGACCTGTAATTCTATTCGAAATATTGAATTTTTATTGTCTATGTTTATTAACTCATAGAAACAGTTATAATGAACTTAGACAAAATGTAAATACCTTTCATTATCCGCCTTTGTTGGCCAATAATCAATACCATGTGAATTTTCATGATCAGTGTGTTAATTTATGACAGTCATTTACGAATTGATTACTTTGTTAATGAATGAGTGTTCCTAGTCTATTGATTACTCAGATATGTAATCAATTATATTATTATGATTATGAGTATTAATTTCATTCATTTGTTTATTAATTAATAATTATATTTGTTAAGATTAAAGTGGCCTTCCACATTTTTCATTTGTATGGTATTGGTACTATTTCAATTGTCAACAAGCGTAAGTGCTTTCTACTTCATGTGACATCACATAAAGAGAATTCAGAATGTTTCCTTTTTTAGTAACAGGCATAAAAAGATGTCTATGGTCATAAAAAACTATGATTTGTTTAATTTTAAATGGAGGTGATGGTACATGTTATCATCAATTTAAAAAGGTGTGTCTGATAAAGTAGTCTTCAAGGGTACCACCTGGGCGATAGATTCTTTCAATGTTTTTTTACACAAGGTTTTCTTTTAAATGTACAGCATAAAAATCTCTAAATGTCTGTGCATACGTAAATGGTATTAATGATCAATTTTGGCCAAAGTTTGTTCAATATGTAAACGGCTACTAATACTGTATAAAGGAACAAGAACAACAGTAGAGAAATAGGTAGGCGTACCTGGAAGTCTATTGAAAACCGCCTACTGTATCTAAATCCGTTTCTTTTAGCCTACACAACACTTCATCTGAATAATTATTGTTGCAATTCAATAAAAATGATATCATAATTGGGTCTAATACAATCCTACAACCTTGACGCTTGATTTGCATGCCCACAAAAACCACCAGGAATTCTGATGTAACCAGATGATTAACTAAGCTGGTATCCACATCAGATTTTCATCTGCTCATTAATTTTTTATGGTATTGCAATTTTATATAAAAATAAATACTGTATATTACTAAAATTGATATGATTCTTCTACCACCGTATTGCATACCTTTAACAACCACAACCTTTCCGTCGAAAACAACCTGTTATTATTCCCAGTAAATTAAAAGATAGCATCGTACATCATTAGATTTGAAAAGTGGATCAAAAGATTACGAGGAATACACTATCTATGCCTATCAAAATTGCCTTAAGCCGGTGGTGTTCAGTTCCAGCATGCACCGTAATATGTATGGAACCCTGGGTATCTGTGATGGCTTCCCTGTACCTTGATTGGGCGTGGGAACACCAATGAACTTGGATTTAAAATCAATTTTTATCAAATCACAACATATGGAAGATATTGGTTATTTTAGTCTCCACTGTATGTTGTTTTGATACTCCTTCACAGAATGGAGATAATTGATAGATAGTGAAAATGATAATAGTATTTGTCTCATCTAATTCCTGTGTATATTTTTAATGATTATGAGAACTTTTGGGAGAAAAATTCTTTGCTATTAGAAGCTTACCTGATTAAAGGTTAAATGAATATACAATAATAATACAAACGATTTAATAATGCTATAAGATAATATTAATATATAACATATAAGCTGTAATTGTCCCATCTTTAACTTTTTTTTTAGCCGGCTGACGTCAGATTGAAATAAAAGGAATTGAGAAATGCCTGAATATAAGTAATAGGAGAAAATGTCAAGATTGATGGCTTGAGTTTAAAGATGAAAGAATATTAAAGTTTGAATTGTTAATTGAATCACAATGTTTTACTAAAGTTAGATGAATAAAGTTTAAATATTAATCAATCTGGCTTCAAGAAGATAAACATTAAGGTTTAAATTGTTGAATCACAATGGGTTGACTGAAGATGAATGAAAGAGTAGTTTTAAATATTTAACCATGATGACTTTACCATGACATTTAAAGATGAAAGAATATTAAGTTTGAATTGTTAATTGAATCACGATGTTTTACTAAAGGTAGATGAATAAAGTTCAAATATTAATCAATCTGGCTTCATGAAGATAAACATTAAGGTTTAAATTTTTGAATCACAATGGGTTGACTGAAGATGAATGAAAGAGTAGTTTAAAATATTTAACCATGATGACTTTACCATGACATGCAATCACTTGCATTAATCTTAGCTGAATTTGCCTCAGACTAATTTGTCTTATATTAAAAATGATTTTTAAGAATAAGGTATAAGAAATGCCATAGTTGATATATTATCGTGGAGATCTTTTTTTTGCTCAACTTCTTAATTGTTTCACACTATTACGGAAAAATACCACACTATCATGTTTCAAGATATATGATTATAGCGGAAAATGTACTCTAAGCATTAAGCAGGTAAAGCGGACATTGAAACAGCTAATGGCATAAAAGGAGAATGTTGAGCATGAATTCATCACGTTTTCTCAATGGTAATTACTCACTGTCCTGAAAGAAGCGGAATACTGCAGAAGTTTCTAGACATTTAATTAGACGAGAACTTAAATGGAGCAACAACATATGTCAACAACAAAATAAGATAACAAAAATTGCTCTCTTTTTTCTCAAAAGTTTATGCATGCACAGGCAGCTTTTAAAAAACATTTCCCAATAAAAGCCCATGTTTTTCGTGGAGTAAATGTGTGTCCATGTTGTGTGATTGAAGTTGTCAATGTTTTTGCACTTTTCATGCACTTTTCCAACAACATTTCATGAAGCATAATAAATATGCTGTTGTTTCCCTCTAATATTAGAAAAAACAGAAATTACCATGTCAAAATTTTAAAACAAATCTTGAACATGGGCGAGATAAAATAATCTAACTTTGTTTTATTTTATCCACCCAATGATTGTATTTCTTACGAAAGCAAACTATTTTAACAGGACTCGGGTGTTGCCAGACAACATTACTTTTGGTACTAGAGGCATTTTATAAAGATACTGTTCATGGCTGAAGGGGGAGGGGGTGGGGATATGTAGAAAATGAGATAGGAAAAGGCAGAAGGAGCATAAAAATATTCTCTATTGTTTCACACATCCCAGTATGATTTAGTTGTTGTTACATTATCTAACTCAGGAAGAAAGATGATGCCCTTATGAAATTAACTACCGTAAGGCAATCGCAAATGATCAAAATCACCCATTACACAGTTATATACAGTATCCGAGATCAAATCAGGCAGAACTGAAAAATTATCACAATAATTCATTCTTGCCTAATGCAATAATGTTGTGCAATACAAAAAGTCTAGAGATAAAACATAACTTAAAGGTACTGTAATTGCTACAATAATGTCTACTCTATTAGTGTTACATATTATCAATTTGCTGCATTTTGATGTAATATTTTGCCACTCAAACTGATATTAAATGTTTTAGCCTTAAAATTTAATTGTTCTTCTCAGACCTGTGCTCATCGGTATCGTATTCTACAACCAGACAATAAAATGTGGGGCTTAGGCAAGTGTTACCTCATACGCCAGAATGTGTATGACCTGAGCATTGTCAGGAAGGGTAGACAAGATGCCTGGGTGTTCTGTGACACGCTTTCTATGACCCAGGATAACTATGGATATTGCCAAGCAGGGACTGGTCTGGCTCTAACCAAAATAAAAGAAAGCTCAGTAAGTGACAAATTAATAAATGATTCCTAAATGCATATCATATCAAGTGGGTTTCTTCTGGTGGTGATTGGGAGTGTACTTCAGGAGAAATTTCCCTACTCTTTTCCAATGAATGAACTGCATTCTTTAACATGCGTATGAGCCATATTGCACACAGGACCGATTACTTTAACATCTCATCCAAAAGAACTTCACAAAGCGTTACCATGAGGTGTGATGATAGTTACATTAGTGTCACCACGGATTTGGTGTCTGCACTTTTTACAAAAAAAAGAATTCTAAAAATTTGAAAACGTTAATGACAAAGGCTATAGGTGGAAACGATCTTCACTATTTGTTGATAATAACTTAACTAGTTTACTGTCATGGATTTGGTTTCACAACCTTTGACAAAATAATTATAGAAAATTGGATGCTGTTAATTGATGCAAACTAGTCTAGTGACTATAAGCTGTATAAATCTTCACCATGTGTTGGTGATAATTGACTGCCGATTTAGTCTCTGTAACTTTCACAACTAGGTGTGCTACAAAACTGATAAAAAATGTTAATGGAAATACTGTTATGAGTAGAAACAGTTATGAAGTGATGATGTAAAAATATTTTCAATCTCTTTTTACCAAAGGATTTGTTAAACCAGTATAAATACCTGGCAGCTGGATTGCCGGGTGTTGATCAGTTTCGAGGAGGTGTGGTAGTGGTAGATATCAGTGAAAGTATCTTCGCATATAACAGTTTAACTTTCAACCCACAAACACAAGCTGGTGTATTTCAACAAAGCTATGCAGGTGAGAATATTTGAGATTACACTATGCATTCCCATTTTTCACAAAATCATGTGGATTTTGTTTTTTTCTCAGTACACTCGTCAATTACAGGATACAATAATGCAGATCCAATCAAAAGGGTCCGAAATCAATTTAGAAAAAAGAAGTACTGATGTCAAGCCTTCTTTTAACACAACTACGCTGTAGACACAGCGTTCTCACTGCAATTGTTACACTGCATATCTGTCGGATGCATTTGGATTGACTGCCCAATTTGACTGACGAATCAGTGCTGACAAAAGCTAGTGGCAATAGTGTGTAGCAATTTTATGGAAACTAGCCATCGTGAAAGGATTTGGACCCAGGACCCTTGTGATTCAAAGACAAGCATCTCAGCTGCCAAGCTATAGCTTCACTCCAATACAGTTATCAGTTTACTGAGGATATCATACTATGTGTTATACAGAAAAGTTATCGTAGCTTCTTCATACAAGTATCTATTATATAGTGTATCATACCAACCTGAGGGCACTGCCCATAGTATTTTACAGAAAAGCTATATTTCTGTAGGATTTTCTTTTACTACCACCTGCCATTTAATATTCTTATCAGAGATATTATTTATACAAAGTATCCATGTTCTGGCAATTGTAATTATTATATATAGGTTGATGTTGAGAAGTAATCGTGACATGTACATTAAAACAAGAAACCTAATGTACACTCTTAAAAGAAATAAGACAAATAATGCCACTCACAATGTGAATTAATGGCTACAGTTATTAGTCTATGCACTGACCGATAATCTAGGAGTTAACAGTGAATGTTGATTCAAGGATTGAAATGCATCGAGAAGTGGATCCAAACATGACTATTTTTAGAGCTGGTTTTACTGTCAAGTAATACGACAATTGATTTTTGTGCTTTTCGTACAGTTATTCTACATGTTCACATTGCAGCCTGTGCAATATCGTACAGTAGTTGTATGCATCATGATAACCAATCACACGGTGCAAATTCTAGGATGTTTACATTTTGAACATTAAGATGTTAGAGAACCACAAATGATCGTCTCCACTAGATAGGTCACCCAGGGTGTGATTTGCACAAAATTTAGGGCACATATATGGGAATAAACAGGACTTTAAAAAATCCTAAAGTTAGCTTCATTCTCCATCACCAAGATCTCCCAATATCATTTGCTGAAGAAGCAAAGAGTAACAGGAACAGACAACATTCACAGCCTTAGGAAAGATGGGCCCTGGATATAAATGTTAAATATTTGATCATATGTTGTTTGGCTACCTAGCTAGGTAATTAGACAGTCAGATATATGGATAAAAATTAAAATGTATATATTTGTACCAAAGTACATAATATGTCAGAGGAAACAGTGTAGACAGATGTGAAGGAGAAAAGTCTGAGAACACAAGTGGTAATTGCAAATGAAAGCACAAGTGCAAGATTTAAAATTGATGGAAGAGTTTTTCTGCAGTGGAGAGAAATAGGCTAGATTAATCAATAATATGCAAAAATAGAGCAGTCGTAGAGATTGCTTTTTTTAGCTGATTTATATTTTTCATTCATGAAGGTGCTTTCACTAGCTTGTGTTGCATTTATTTATTATTTTAAAAAATGACATTTAATGTCCAGCTTGGCCCAGCATACCCACATGGTGCCTAAAAATACTGTTCTAAAACCACCTAGAACCTAAAGCTTAAAAATGATATTAGGAAGTTGAAAGCGATGAAAGGAAACATCCCCTGAGGGGTCACATGCTATGCTCTGTGTCACTGCATGTTTCAGAATACAGATGATAAATTGTGGAAGTTACACATATTTAATCCACCTGTTTTCAATTTTTAACAACAGCCATAAAACAATTTTCTCCTTTGGTTAGAAGTTTTGAATTACCATTGTTGTTCTGAAGTGAACTAGTTGTCTGTTTACTGTGCATTTTGCTTGCTTCATAATTTTGCTCCATCCTAGCATGGGTTAAATTTCACTACAAATAGGCTGGTGCTACTTTTTCCAATATTTTATTCTGCTGGACTAAGGCCCTATAAAAAAAAACACAATCTGTATGACTTGTATCTGAAAGAGTTATTTTAAGCTTAATTGTTTCTGAAATTAAACTATTATAGAATGGAATAGAAATTTTCTTTTTTTGTGGATACCCAGTCAATGGAAGAGAAATTTGTTCTTTTGGGATCCAAATGAAAACACTTACAAATACAAATACAGAACAAAATTAATGAGGAATATGTATGGAAGTCTCCATTTATATAATAGGTCCTCCAAGATTAATTTCTGAAATTTACCCAAATTTTTGTGAACTTGTTTTATCTCAAATATTTAAAGTAATTACTACTGCAGACACACTAACATAATAGTCTCTGTATCTGATGAGGTAAACTAGATAACGACAGTAACATTACAACGTGGTAAAAGTATTATTGTAATTAGAACAGGTTGTGGCTATTGTGACTTGGTTTAATGTTTAACAACATACACTATCACCTGCAGCCTACTTTACTTAATGCATTTATTTTGTGCATGTACAATTAGAGGTTATTTAGCCACATAAATGACAGCCTGTTTCCAATTTTAAAATTGTATTTCTTTAATTTTTAGAGTAGTATATTTTTATTCATGCTTTGTGCTGCAAATTAGTGTCTTTTTACAGGCCTGTAACCAGTTTCCTGGGAAGGGGGTTTCCTGTAGGCCAAGTTTAACTCAGAAGTATTTCTTTAATAAACAAAGTTATGATATTATTCTCCTGAAGACGATTGAAGTAAGTCAATCAAAACATCAAGACATCCTCAACCAACAACAGTTCTTTTCAGAACTATCTATGTGGTTACCACAAGTATATATATATATATATATATATATATATATATATATATATATATTATATTATATTATATTATATATTATATTATATTAATATAGATATTAATACTACTACTGGTATGTTAGCAAACTGGTCAAAAGTCTTGTCTTGATACAATGGATAAACATTGATAGATATTAGATAGAGCTTTAAGAGTACTGTATATTGAATCAGAACATAATGTGGTGTCTGTACCATAGATATTATCTTATATTATGTATGTTTTTTTTCTTTTTCTTTTAGGTTTATCTATGTCAATAGGTAAATTTAGGAAAACTCCACCAGGTAAAGATCCTAATTTTTTTGTCGCTGGCGCACCTAGAAATGGAACAAAAGGTGCGGTGACGATATTTCACTTAGTTGACACAGTGTTAGCTGTCTACCAGGTGCTTAGTGGGGAAACTTTAACAGAATCATTTGGTTATGAAACCTGTCCTGTCGACCTGAATGGAGATGGGTAAGAAAACTTTTTGTGTATTTAAGAATAAGAAAGAGAGCCTATTATGGTACCTCAATGTTTATGCTACAGTAATTAAGGCCAAGCAAAAAAATGTAGTTTCTTGTCCTAATATTTTGAAAAAAGGAGAATGAGGCACATTTTAGTTCCTATGCATATAATGCAATAGGAACTACTGTAATCACTCTTCACTGTTTTTCCTGTGTGTAGTGTGTGCATACGTGTGTGTGTGTGTAGACATTTATGCAAATGCACATTCATCAAAGTAAAGTTTTCCGACATTTTGTTTTACCTCGCGATGCGAAGTTTGATCTGAAGTTTCTGCAGTGTTCAGTCAGGGCTCACGCTAACCGATAGGCAAGTCGGCATGGATGAAACTATTTTGGATTTGCGGCAAATAAAAAATCAACTGCTGTAGGCATAGGCATTTTGAAGGCCTAAAATTAAAGAAAAGGTTTTAATACTTGCTGAAATACATTGTTTTTTCATTTAGATCTCCATTTTTCGCTATCTCCATGCGACCTTTTTTTTTGTTGTATGAGTAGTCATATGAAGGTACTGTATCCCCGACAGTTGGCTATGCAGCAGTGTACCCTTTGAATGCAAACTGAAGACAAGTAAAGATATAAAGGCTGCCGACTGTCGGGTACATAACGACTACAGGGTATCTAGCTTAGGCTTTCCACAAAAACATGAGGCCTAGGCTAGGTCTAGTTTAGTACAGTAGTTACTGCGATGCGAGGGTGGTAGATCGTTAAATCAATGATATCAATTTAAATAATGTGTGTAAAATTTAAAAATGCACCGCGTGGGTCGCTTTCTTTGTTATGCGGTAGTATACGTAGCAGAGTGATGGCAGCAGGGCTAGGCCTAGCCTAGGGCCTAGCTCATGTACGTTCTTGATCATAGTGATGAAAACTTCGGGTGACAGACGATTGGGCTCAACTGGTGTGGACGATCGGGCCCAAGCTATTTTCGAATAAATTGTAGTCTAGTAGGCCACTGCCAGCCCCCACTCCTGATATCGTTCCAAACTACTGTAAAATAAAAATACTGTGTACCTAGCTAGGCCTACAAAATTTTTTCAAAGAAATTTGCTAAAAATATATTACTGTAATTTGCCTATCAAATTACATTACCAATGTGGTCTAAAATCACTATTTTTATGCATAGGAATGTTGGCGCCTGCAAGGCTTTGGTTTTTTTCACTTCGAGATGGGAAATCCAAGATGGTCGACGGGAAACAGCTACTACTGTACTTTCTCACTTTTACCTAGTAGTAGACACATTGAAAGCAAATTTATTTATTATTTATTTGTTCTGTCTTTATACTGAAATAACACTTTCAGTGCTAAAACAGTGATTTCCAAAGTGGTTCAATCTTAACAAAGAAAAGAAAATTAAATATTGATAATACAATAATTTACACTGGAGAATATTAAGAAAAATAAAAGAAGCACTAGACATGATTCATACCATATGTATCCCCAACTACGATAAATTTTACTGATGTGAGCTAGCCAGATCTTCGTACATTTCATAAAATAAATGGGAAAAAATGGTGAGGCAGAGAAAATGCATGCGCGAGGGGACGAGAAACTAGTTTTTTTTTTTATTTGGCCTAATATAGACAATTTTTTTTTTGCTTTTGCATCATGGCTAGAATTCATGGAAAGTTTGATAGTGGTGAAGCTAAGCTTTTGTTCATTAAAATAAAAGGCATAATTTTTTTTTAGATATTTTCATTTGAGCATTGAAGCTATAAGTTTGTTATTTTAAGGACACATTTAAAAATCTGCTGGCGGATAGTTCTTTGTTGTCCAGTGATCCTGTTTCCCATAAAAATATTGTCTTGTCTTCAAAACACATGAGGTCTACCATTCACATTTTCTTTTTATTTGAAAGAATAATTTTATTTAATATGTGATGCTCTTTCAAATCATGTTACAGATTGGTCTTCTTTCTACATTGTTTTTCATCTTCTAGTTAAAAATTTCTTGTCTTGTCTTTAAAACACATGAGGTCTACCATTTACATTTTCTTTTTATTTGAAAGAATAATTTTATTAATATGTGATGCTCTTTCAAATCATGTTACAGATTGGTCTTCTTTCTACATTGTTTTTCATCTTCTAGTTAAAAATTTCTGTTCCTAACTTATGGTTTATTTTTTTATTTTTCAATAATTAGCCATACGTGTGTTTGTAATACGTTTTAATTAATACACTTTACAATATAAAAAATACAGGAATTGATTTAAATTGTTATCAATGCCAATTACATTGTTTATTATTATTGTTGTCATTATTTTATTATAATTAATTAGTATTATGATTTAAATCCTACTGAACAGTCTTTGCCAATTATATACATGTCCTTAAATCTAATAAGTAGGTCAACATTTAGTTCAATGTCAATATTTCAATGGAATAATTAGTTGTGATAATTAAGATCGGAATTAGAATCATATTTATTCGTCATCTAAAAAAATACAGTGGATGTAGCTCTACTATTCATTAAACAACCTCATAGATTTTATTCTGCATTCTTTACTACAGTATTTATCTACTGCATCCTAAAATCAGTCAGTTTTTTTAAGAATTGTTATATGTATTAAAGATTATAATCATAATTAAATATTTTGTTCACAGGGATTACATTTGTAGTACTTGCCCTTGGCATTCCTAACAATCCAAGAAACATAGTATAGGCCTATACTTAGTCATAATTATTTTAAGTGCCCCAGGTAATAAGCTCTTATCAAAAGCTTGGGAATTCCCTTCGAATCAATGCTCAAATTGTTCTATGAAGTATAACATAGTTGATTTACTTCCTATTTTTAAATTTTTAATGTCATTATAAAAATTTCAGGCATACTTTACAGATAGAGTAATATTTTTAAATTGTAACAATGTATTTCTTTTGACTAGAGTGTTCCATTTATCAATGCTGGTTTTTGAGAACACTCAATACATAGGGCATAGAGGCCATGATGTCTTTATACACAATGTAAGTCCCCAACCATTACCATACACATCAAGACAAGATAAAATAAAACACAAAACATGTGAAGTAAATGGTTTAACACTTTAAAACAAGTAAACAATTTAAAACATTTAAGATTAAACAGTAAAAGGAATAAACATAAAGCAATTAATTAGATGATGTTGTTATTTCTGGTACTTCCGTGGTGACAGCGACTATTGTACAGCTGTCTGTAACCATTGTTGTTGTTGATTTTGTTGGCATACATTATGTAAATTGCACCTGTCATTATCTCAATAACATCACAGTATTTTGACAATATTAACTGTAGGCTATTTACTCTGACTATTATATTAATTCAAGCTCAAACAATACTAACATATTGACATAACAGAAGAAGCATTCATATCAAGGGCGATCCCTCTCTAATTGCCATAAGGACCACACAATATTTCCAGTAATTTTGTTATGACTAATTTAAGTATGGACATATTTTGTATATTTAATCAGCTACCATTTGTGTATTAATATTCTGCATATGTGCACAAGATATTATTCAATTTCCAAGTTTTCTAATAATAGTGACGGTAGTTTGTACTACGCCTTAATTTTCATAGACGACATTAAGATTTCACAATTTGGTCTAATGTTTTTTTAAATAAGATATAGTATTTTCTTATGACAATTTTTTAAATGCACATAAAAAAATTAAAAGATGGAAAGTACTTCATGCAATGACTGTGTGAAAAACTACCCCAGACAAAAAGAAAGAAGTTTTTATTTATTTTGCCTAAAATTTAAGGTTAAAAATAATGCTATTTTACCATGATCTATCTAGTAATCCGGATTTTACCCAAATGAATTTTAGCATTCAAGTGATGCCGAGTGTTTACTTTCTAGTGTTGAGTGTTTTTTCACGAAGTGGCATAACTTCTTATCAAATGAACCTCCCCACACATTGCTGTTATCTATGTAAAGGTAACATGATATCTAATACACACTAAAAAAAAATCCATATTTATCAGAAATGTGTCCGACAAATATCATGAAGATCATTAATTGAATATACACCGATGTGTGAGCAGGTAATAAACCAGATGGCTTCGCTGTAAAAGAGCATTGTTTAAAGATTAAGGGGAGAATAAATTACCCGGTTTTAATTCACCATTTGTAGTATTGCAGAAATTCTAAGCTTGTGCATGATAATATGCTGACTGTGGAATACAGAGAGACACGTTGTATAAGAGCGGCAAAATTGGATTTACACTGAGGAGTCATTGGAAATTTAAAATGATCATGTTGTTAGCTGGGACGGCATAGTTAAGTCCATAATGGTCTTGTTAATAAATTGCTGAATTTCAGACATCTGGGAGTATTGTGTTTTTCTAATAGATGATTGTACTGTTAATGTGTTATTACACTTTAAATATTGTAATTTGGCTGAAGAAATTTTCACTGAATAATCCTTTGAAATCCAAGATAAAAAGAACAGTAATCTGACCCAAATCTGACCCGAGTTCTTTTGTTTTCTAGAGGAGGTATGAATCCATTATCATAATGAGTTGTTTTTAACAATTAAAGATTTACGACACAGTTTCAATTGATTAAATAATTTTGTAATACCTGAATTGTTTTGTGTATTAAATAAAAAATTATCTTTCATTCAAATATTAAAATTTAAAATTATTTTCCTTACTAATTGTCAGACACAGATAATAATGTTATCTATCAATTGCTCTTTTTAAGTTATTATTTAATGCTATTTATTCTATTGTTTTTTCTTATATTTTTAATGTGATTTAAACTCAATTCTGTTATATTTGTGTTATAATGTTTTACTTCTTCATTTTTGGAGGTTTTTGTGAATAAATTGAATTGTGTTGAATAATATTCCATAGAACATTAATTGGTTAATAATCAACTATAAACATTATAATTATAATAACATTTAATAATGATGATAATAATAAAGTATAACAAAATTAATATTAATTTTGTAAGCAATGACAATCTTTA